TTTTTTTTTTTTTTTTTTTTTTTTTTTTGCCCTTTGTCCTTTCCAGACCTCCTCTTAGGCCAGGACAAATTTCCCTGAGATAGGAACTAAAGGCTGACTCAGTTCCCATCTGGAGCCATCTGGTTCTTCCTGCTTCACAGCTCACCACTCATTCCTAATCACTCCCCCTCCTCTTTCTTTCCTCTCTCTGATATATTTTCAGTCTTGCTTCTTCTCCCACAAAAAAACATAAGCCATGAGATCATCTGCCAAGACGGATTTGGCCTTAAGAATAAAGTTTTTAAGTGCCCGACCACATTTCCCAGGGGGTGGCAAGAATTCTTAAGCTCTAAGAAAGTGTATTTTTCACTAAAATGTAACTAGGGAAGGTTGTGCTTTCTGAAAATACCTCTGTACCTCAGGAAGTGAAATTAAACTAATCACTGAGAAATAAAAAGTAGCTTTTTCTCATCTTAGGAGCATTTCTTTTCTCTACGGTACAGTATATAATTATAAAGGTTGTTTGAACAAAGTAGATCCAGAGACATAGAAACATGGAACAGACTGATGAATCTCAGAGGGAAGACAGGGATGAGTGGGTGGGACGAGATTAACCAAAGAATTTATATGCATATATGCATAACCCCTAGACAAAAACAATAGTACAGTGAAGGCCTGAGGTGGGGAGGGGGGAGGGGTGATTAGAAGTGATCAATGGGGGGGGGGAGGGTACACCTCTATTACTTTTAATGGTAAAGATAAATCAAATAATAAAAATAGAAGAGCTTACAACACTTGGCTGGTAGGCAGTGTTTAACAACAACAATAAAAGTCATATAATTGGGACATTATTATGCCTCTTTAACTTATGCCAGAACTGTACATCTTTTTTAAAATATATATATATATTTTTATTGATTTCAGAGAAGAAGGTAGAGGTAGAGAAAGATAGAAACATCAATGAATAGAGAGAATCATTAACTGGCTGTGGATCGAGCCTACAACCCAGATATGTGCCCTGACCACAGAATTGAACTGTGACCTCCTTCCTGGTTCATAGGTCGACTCTCAACCACTGAGCCATGTCGGCCAGGCCAGAACTGTACATCTTTAAAGTTTTGAAAAGATATGCTTCCATTTTATGTCATAAGTAATGTGGTGAGTCAGGATCAAGGATTTTTTTTTTTCATGTCTCTTGCACTGGCCACTAGAAGGCCATTTATTTACTAAATATATATTGAATGCTTTCAATGTACTGTGACCAGGAGAGGTTACCTAGTGAACATTCATAGCATGCTCTCTCATTGTTTCTCTGGAATCTACTTAAATTGATGAAATGGGCATCTCCTATCAGTATTGCTTCCCACGGTAAGCCACTGCTGATTTAATCCTGAGTTCCCCTTCTATGTTTTCCTAAATATGCTTGAAAAACCTATTTAGTGAAAAAGAAGATATTAAATATCGCAGTCCTCAGGGCTCCACAGCTCTGACATAGATTGCTGGCCTGTATGGTAAGTAGTTCAAAGCCTTGTTTTCACTTCCCCAAGCCTCCTCCTCTTTCCACTTCAGTAGGAGCAGGAATCTTGAGTTAAAAATCAGGCTCCAATTTGGTCACAGGATCTAGAGAGAATGCTTTTAACGAGGCTGAAACAGTGGTTCTAAATTTGGTTGCAATTAGAAATTGTGACCTGGCCAATGTTTCCAAGTGGTTAGAGCGTCTGTGCACTGAAGAGTCACAGGTTCGATTGGATTCCCAGTCAAGGGCACGTACCTGAATTGCAGGTTTGATCCCTGACCCCAGTCGGAGTGCGTGTGGGAGGCAACCATTTGATGTGTCTTTCTTACATCCATGTTTCTCTGTCTCTCTCTTTTCCTCCCCTCGCCCCTCTTTTCACTCTCTCTAAAAATCAATGGAAAAAATATCCTCAGGTGAAGATTAACAAAAAAATAAAAAATTGAATTTGTTTTTCCCACATTACCAGAGCTTTACTTTATTAAGGTCATTGTGCACCTCTCTACTTGGGTGTCACTGGCCAATACTTTATCTGCTTGTTTTGTTGTTGATGTTTCAAATAAAATTTTATTTTGGAAAAATTTGAGATTTACAGAAAAGTTGCAGAGGTAATGCAGAATTAGCATACCCCAAACACAGTTTAGGTTTGCTCTCTATTATCATCTTACATTATCATTATGTTTTTAATCCTCGCGCACAGGCATGGTTAGAGAGAGAAAGAAACATGGATGTGAGAAACATTAATTGGTTGCCACACCCTGACTGGGGATCAAACCTATAATCCAGGTATGTGCCCAGACCCGGAATCAAACTGGCAACCTTTCGGTGCATGGGATGATGCTCAACCAACTGAGCCACTCCGGCCGGCCGGGCTCATCTTACATTATTGTGGTACATTTATCAAAACTAACAAACCAACTTTGGTACATTCCTATTAACTATAATTCAAACTTTATCCAGACTTCCCCAGTGTGTCCTTGTTCTCCCTCAGGATCCAGTCCAGGGCAACGCATCACATTGAGATTTTGTCTCCTAATCCTCTCTGGTCTGTAAGAGCATCCCAGTTTTTCCTTGTTTTCCTTGACAGCCTTGAGGAGTCCTAGAGGATAGTTTATAGAATGTTCTTCAACGTGGACATGTCTGATTTTTCATAATTATACTGGAATTGTGCACTTATTTCACAGGTGAAATGCCCTTCTCATCTCTCCGGAGGATCCATGATAACCACATGACACCACAGGCGGTGTTAACCCTAGCTTCCTCCACCATAAAGTCACTATTTCCCCCTTTCCTGCATTATTCTTGGGAAGCAGGTCACAAAATTGAGCCCACTCTTAAGCACGTAGGGGAAAACTAAGCTCCACCTTGTGGAAGGGGAAGTATCTACATAAATTACTTGGAACTATTAGTGGCAAGGTTTGTCTGCTTCTAATCTAACCCATTTATTAGTTCAGTCATTAATTACATCTATATGGACTCTTATATTTATTTTATACTTCGGTTTATAATCCAGTACTATGTTATTTATTTATTTGCTGAAATATTTCAAGCTTTGGCCATTGGGAGTTCTTTTGGGTTGGTTCCTGTGTCCCTTTGGCATGACCTCATCCTTTTATTTATTTATGTTTTGCAACACTGCCTCAGTTCCTGGTAGTACAAGATGCTCCAGACTTATTTGTATGTTCCCTGCCCTGGCCCCAGTACCAGCCATTTTCCAAAGAGAGTTGGTTCCTTTTAGTGGGGAATTGTAATTAGAAACCAGTATCTAGGAATTGGGAATATTCATTGCTATTGGAGTTGTCATTGCTTTCAGCAGACAGAGCTAGGTAATATACATTTGCATATAAGCCTATGTATAAACACATCTGTAACTCTGTATCGTGTGTGTGTGTGTGTGTGTGTGTGTGTGTGTGTGTGTAAACATGATTTCATACTGATATCTCCAGCTCCAACACCACAAGGTTCATTGTAGCCATCCCTTCTTGCTTATCTGTAAATTCTCTCTCTGAGAAATGAGACTGCCATCATCAACATCCGTTACCTATTTTTTGACTCTA